TTAAAAAATATAACTCCTTTTGGATGGAAATAAAAAAAATTATTAAATATTTTATTAAATGCATCAGCTAGTAATTATATATATATATATATATATAGATACTTTAAAAATAAATAAATAAAAATATAATATTTTATAAAATAAATATGTTTTTTTGTTTAATAAAAACGAATCACGAGTCTAACGACTAAATTGGCTTAAGCAAGAATTTTCTCATACTTTGTGACGTGGTGTGGTTGAACTAAGCACGTCCAAGCCTCAAAGAGATTTTAATGATGCAATAGATTTCAGTCTATACAGCGTCAGCGTGTGGGGTTTTTCTCTTCTTTTTAGTTTTTTCTACTTTATTTGCCATATTTTTTCTTACTAGAAATGGTTCGAATTGATTTATATTTTGACAGAAAAAGATTAACAAATAACAATTGATCAGAAAAAGGCTAACGTGCATAGAATTGTTTCTCAAACTTTTTGCTTTAAAGGGACGGTCGATATTAAAAGCTAATTCAAACTTTTGCCTTGTTGCTTTAACGGGACGGTCATATATTTCGTTAAATTATGTGCTCCGTAATTTGATTTGCATAAATATTGTTGCTTTTGAATAAAATTTGGTGTTTGACATAATAATTTATTTACAAGTTTAGTAACTATGCATTTTTTTTTCTCTTTCTCAAATCTAACAATACCATGTGAAACTGATATTATTGATTTCATTTATTTCATGTATTAAATATCGTATTTTTGATATTTTAAAAGTTAATAACTTTTTTATTTCATTTGTTAAATTAATAATTATTCGACAATTTTCATTTTGATATTCATATCACATATAATTATGTTTTGAAAGAATTTTAAAAATTTTAAAATGTCAGAGTTGTAAATAATATTTGCCTTAAACATATATAATTTTATAAAGTTAATTAAAATATTTCTTTTAATAAATTGAGAGTAAAAATATGTGTCATTTTAAATAGTTATCACTCTAGTTATATATTATTTGGTGTACATTAATTTATTTATTTTATTTATAAGTTCTTTAAAGTATGATTTTATAATAAAGTTATATACATTCGTAAATAGAATACAATGGCCTAAAGGTTAGACCAGCCTAACAGTGGTGATAATAATATAATATTGATTAATACATTGATAATTTCTTTTGGAATGTACAAGATCTTCAATAGGTAGATGTGTACATTAATCAAAATGAACTTGAAGTTCATACGATAATCAATTTGTAATATTTAGCAAATAATATGCCCGATGCATTTACAGATTATAAATGAGTGACTAAATCTCATGTACCTGTTATAAATGCACCATAACAAGTGAAATTTCTAAAAAAAAAAAAACTAATATACGTACAAATGATATGCGCCAAAAGCGTGGGAGGTCTGTTTGTACAAACGACACTAATCCGTGCAAAATAAAATTTAATAAAAAAAATTGAACCACTCTCTTTTCCGAAGATAATTGTCTAGAAGACGAAAATCCTAATTTATATACACTAAATAATAAAAATACTAGGAATGCGGAATATCCTGATTTAAATATTTTGTGGAATAATGAAGATATGGTTCATGTAAATATTGAAATAGCTATAAACTTTGTTGATATATGAGAAACTTATAATAGAAGTAACATATTTGTAATGATACATTTACCTCTATATTTGTCCTTATTATAGTAGTTTCGTCTAAAAAATGTATTCAACAAGACAAAATAAAAACAAATATAATTCAATCGCACCTTAAAGTCTATGTAAAAATAACTATCGATACAATATCCGGTAAAGTACACAAATGCCTACAATATCTTTTCTAACTTCTACTTATGCTAGGTTATTTTTCTGGATTACAATTTTATAACAACATATTTTTATTTCCCCATATGTCAATTAGTTATCTCATAATCTCTCTCCCCAATCAAAGCACATAAATAGGTAACTGATACATACCTTTTGAATACGGTATCTTTAATTATGAGATGAATAGTAAATAAAAAAAGATATGACAAATCCCGAAGACGGAGCCACCATTGGCGGCTGGACGGCGAATCATGGACGACACTGGCCGACCAACGGCGCGAACGGGCCTGGCAAGTAATTATGATATATTGATTATAAACAGGGGTTAAACAATTATATAGTTTGAGAATTTATTTTTCTATTATCCAATTAGTAAAACACATATAAACATTGTTTTGTTGTTTACTTTCTTTGGTCAATGTAAGTCATTTGAGGCAAAGATACAAAACTTTGAATGCATAAACCAAAAATATGCATATCACAACATCACAATATTAAAATGAACACTAAAAAGGAAAATCATTTGTATCTATATACTATATATAAACGGTATATAAATAATGACACAGTTGTCGTTGACAATAAAAAATAGTAATAAGCTGATTATAAATTGCATACATTATCCCACTAATTAATATGTTCCTCTCTCCTATCTCGCCAGCCCATTGTGATTACCTGAACTCCGATGTTGCTTTCCACTCTTGTTGTTCCAAGGCTGCTCCCCGAGATGATGTGGGAACAACGACGATGCAACGGCAGAGATGCCGGCGTCAGCAGAGATACTGATGCCGGCAGTGGACGAGTGACCGGGGCTGTTTGAATGAATGATGATATCGGGGTTGAATGAAGAAGAAGACGTGTGAAGAATTTTTCTTTTCCAAACTTGTGTTTTGGGTTTAAAGATTTTCATATTAAATTATTCCCTAACATAATTTAAGCATTTACCATATTTAAAAAACATTTTGACTGGGTAAGACTATTATTTAAATATGACAATTGTTAAAAATTGATACAAAATGTAACAATGTTGTGAAGAAATATATCAAGAGTAAAATATATGTGACGACGAAGGTAATCAGTCTATCCTAGTGAGAACCGTTAAATTCCATTTTGGGTCATTGAGGTAAGCCCGTGCAATCAAGTAAATTGGGCCACTATTAACCGACTCCGTGGCCAGACAAATTAGCCCACCTCAATTTTATTGCTATTCATCATAGCAGTAGTGTTTTTTTATATATTTTCTTTTATTAGATAGAGTTTTTCATATTGAGTGTGTGCTTTTGCCTATTCTTTGTAAAAAGGTTGTGTTTGGTAAGCCAAATAAGCTAGTTTATATCTTATTTGGTTAGCTTATAAGTTCTCTGTATTCAAATAAGCCTTGTTTGGTAGGACGAGCTTTTTTAAAAAGCTCGAGAAGCTACTTTAGGTAGCTTTTCAAATAAGTTAGTTGAATTTTTTTATTTCAGCTAGCTTATCAGTTAATTTTATCAAACACTTTTATTATATAAGCTAACTTTTCAACTATAAGTCATAAGCTATAAGTTCAAAAATTACATATAAGTTATAAGCTAGCTTATCAGTTAGTTTTACCAAATATAGCCAAAATAAAGGTGTAAATGAGTCGAGCTCGAGCTCCTTATACTTTTGAATTTGAGCTTTTATTAAGTAGAGTCGAGCTCATTAATTAAATGAGCTTTAAACTACCATGAGAAAACAGTTTGTTTCTTTTATCAACTCATAGGCTCTCAATTACTACATATTGAATTCAATTCAAAAAAAAAAGGGAAAAAAAAAAAGAAATTTGTGCTTTTCCTTAAAAGTATGGAATTATTTGGTTTGACCTACAATTATTTTTCGACTTTGTGAAATTTTGAACAAATTTTCTTGTGGGATAAATTTACAAACATTTCTTAACTAATGATAATATATGTGATGGAGGCAATTATGCAAAAGTGGGGGCAATTAGTGCACTTTCTTTTCAGGCCTAAGTACCTACCATCATCTATCCCATATTTTGTTTACTCCTTTTTGAAACATATAAAATTAAAAATTGTAGCTAGCATTCTCGACCAATTGATAGGCCATTATGATTAGTTAGACTAACCCGTCAAAAAGAATAATTAGTTGATTCAAATTATCAATTGGATATCCCAGTATGGTGAATAATCTCAAAATGGTGAGTAAATCATCCCAATTTACTAAGTCAGAGTATTTTTTTTTTTTTTGGTTCAAAGAGTATTTTTTTTACATCATCATAAAAGGACTCAGACGATATGCATTGAAAAAAGAATTATTTACTCTATTTTCTAACTTTTATTAATAACAGACTTTTAGTTATTTCGAACGACTACATTAGAGATGCTCTCAGTTATCTTAGTCCATTTGTGTCATATTCATTTTATAATATGTTATGATCTCGTTTAACTTAGTACGATTACATTCGAGTGTAATAAGAGCACATGTTTTAATCGATATCATCAATTAATGGGACGAGATCTTCATTTCAAAACCATATTATCCGAAAGACTGTTTCATTTTATTATAGTTGTTCATAATAATATCACAATTATAAACGTGTTATTCATTCATTTAAATGGGCCATTAATTTTGTAACATAAAATTATATTCCTACAATAACATATGCTGCTAATCGAACTCAGTTGATGTGTTTTGGGTAACTCAAAGGGCAACCTTCAACAAATTATCTTACCAAATCATAAATATGTGAATATTTGAACTCCATATCTAAGATGTTCAGAATAATTGGCATTTAATTTATTTCACTAACTAAAGTAGCATATGTTATAAATTATAGTGTTGAAGAAACTCGTTCCTAACATAAATACAAAAATTTAATATTCTCCATATCTTCTAAATAAGTAATTTACGAATCTTGATTTCTCTTAAATAAACTANAAAAAAAAAAAAAAAAAAAAGTCAATCTATTGCATTTCATCACATGTGGAGATAAAGGCATAAAGCTATTCAGATGGAATGGCTCCTCAATTTAAGCCACACTTCACTCCAATTTCATTAAACAGTACCCTCAAATGCTTACACGTGACATTCGGACTAAAATTCAGTTGACCTCTCTGTTTTATTTTCGCTTCGACTTCAGACAAAAACAAAAACAAAATCAACTTATATTGGACGTTTTAATCAACTTATATTCTACAAACTGAAAAAGAAAGAAAAAATGGGTATTTGTAAATAGTTTATTTGACTTTTGTACAATGGCGATGCATTAATTATCTCATTTTAGTCTAAGAAATTTCATGTTAATTTCAAAATTTACACCAATTTTAAGGTAAAAGTTTCATCTATTTTTTTTCGGCTCTTTTTTATCAACTCTCATAGTTAGGTTGTCGATTGTCAATTGGAATTTTCTATGTTTTCTTTGACGAGAAAATTTATCTCATAATAAATGTCATATTCACTTACTCATCTATTTCTACCTACTACCTCTATCGAGTATCAAGTTATATAATATATAATATAAATAAATAAGATAAGATTAGATTTAAATTTATTTTTATTTATCATTATCATTTTAAAACACATAATAATTTAATATTTGATAATAATGTCGGCGTACATTATATAATATTAAAAAAGTTACTTGATAATTTAATTATTTAGTATTTTTTAAAAGTAAGAATCTTGTTATCAATATTTTCGCTGTTATTTTAAGTCATAGTTTACTTGGTGGTTCGACCGACATGCAGCAACCAATGAGTTTATAGTTTTATTGTTATATTTTGAAATGCAAAAAAATGTTTACCTTCACTTTTTCACACATTTCTTATACGTTTTTCAAACCTATATTATACAAAACACATAAAAATAGTTATTATCAAGTTTTCATCCAAAATAAATATTATTTAATATTTTTCATAACTTACTGTATGAGATAAAGGTTCATTTGGTAATTTCAAATTAAATTTAATAAATAATTTGTATTTTATTTTAAATTTATGGTCTAACAATTCACTCTTATTTATTCAATTGGAATATAGTAATAATGTACCAATTTATATTACAATAAAAACCAGAACATCATAAATTTTGATGGGTCTCCACCCGGATCTGGATAGGACTGACTGAAATGAGCTTCGATCTACCTGAACCACCACGCATGTAGCAAGAACTCAACGTTGGAGGAGTTTTCCGCGAAGAGCCTCGATACATAAGTCAGTATCAAGAAGATGATGGTGCTCTATAAATAAGAGCAATATATGATATATGGAGAATGTAAAGTTAGAGTTTGGTGATACCTCGGTCCTTTTTATAGAAAAATACCTGCCCGAAATGTTCTGTCTGGGTGCCCGCGGGTAGAGATGTTAAACGGTCTTGGCCCGACGGACTGACCCGTTTAGCCTGGAAAAAAAGCAGGGTTAGAGCCCTTTATTGATAGCCCGTTTAAATCAGGGCTTTTTAGGCTCGGACCATTAGCCCGAAGCCCGCTAGGGCTAGCCCAAAACTCTCTAAGGTTGGCCCGTTTAACTCGGGTTGGTCGGTGTAAATGTTTGCAACAAGTAAGTAATATGCTCTTAGATTCCTTTTACATTACAATTTTGCTATTCCACTTCACTTGTAAGTATGAGCTGTAATGGATTATTATGATTTTGAAAGATAATTATTAACTATATTGGTAATGTACTTCACACCACAATATTTAAGGCAATCAGAACGGCTAATATCAGAATGTGTAGAGTGTTTCAGTTATACCTCATCCCATTTTATTGGGAGAAATACCTTGGTGCCCAAGATTTAGTTGCCCGTGCTGCCTAGCTACCCCGGTCAGTCTGCAGGGAGCTGCCAAGCTGTCCGAGGTTTAATCCTTATTTTCTCTTTCTTCGTCCTTATCTTGATCTAATCCTTTTCATTATTGGATTCATCCATATTCTGATTAGATTCCCCTTTATCCCGATTAAGTCTCTCTTAACTGAAGTTCCCAAGTGCTCACAAGTCCCTCGATCTCAGGTGTTCGTACAAAATGTCAATATGTCGCAGTTCCTCAAGTCGTCATGTTGGGTACTCTAGAGCCTCAGCAATTCAGGTCACCCATTGTGCTTTAGTCGACCCATTTCAGCTTCCTGTGTATCCATATGTTCTCCATAAGTCGACCTAGTCCATTTCTCAGTCGGCCGACTTGTTTTACTTAGTCCCCATCTGATTTAGTCGATCTATTGTTGTATCAACAATGTACATTAAATTGAGACATTGACTTATTAATCTCACATTCCAAAACGTATAGAGATAGTTTAATCACTTACTATTAAAATGAAATCCAAATCTGAATATTCTAAAATCTGAACCAATAAATGGGCGGGAAATTTTATTTCAACTATAATTTCAGTCTATCCTCTTTATATAAGTATGTGGCTCGTGCGAGGCACGAAAAAGTAATAATATGTTATAAATTAAATATATAAATAACATTAATCATCATTTTCTCATGAAACATTCTTAATTTAATTATTTGAATTGTAAAGTAATATTAGTATTGAAATTCATAGTTAGTTTCAATAATCAATTCGATCTGGTAAAAAATGATTCATAACTTGGTCATTCGGGATGCAACAAAAATTGTGTCATATTTTTTAACGATTTACAAATAATGTGAAGTTGGTCCAATAAGCATGTGCAATAACCTAATTCAAGCAACACAACCGATCCAAATATTTTGTTTTCTCAAGACAAAATTAATTTGATGAAATAAAAAATAATTTGTGATTTATATATTAAATGTTCATAACAAATGACAATATATTATAAGTCCAAATTAAAGAATTAAAGACAAATTAATTATCTTTTTATGCTACACATATTTATGAAATAATAAATGCAATAATTTTTTAAACTATAAAATTAATTAATCGATTATGTAATTGACACGATGACTCGGTACCAACATGAGTCAGAATCGAACAGAGATATTATGCATATTTATTAATATTTCTATATGTTATTCATAAGTTATTGAATGTCATAAATGGATGGTGTTGTAACAAAGAAAGTGCATAAAAGATAAATTATATACTCATTTTATATATTCAGACAAAATTCAATAAAATCATATATATATATATATATTAGTTATAATTATGATATATTGTTAAACATTTTTTCGTAATTCAATTTGAGTAATCTTGCAATATGCTTACAGTTATAAAAAAAAATATATTTTTCAAATTATTGATAAACATCATCAAAAATAATAAACAAAAATAGATTAGGTAGAAATACAAAAATTAATTGAAAGTTTTTGAAAATTTTAATCAATACATTTAAATTAATTATTGGTATCATATTACCTAAAATTAAAGAAAAAAAAAGGCTTCATCACGATGGTAATTAGTAAAGAAAAAATTACCAATGGAAAATTAAAAAAAAAATTAAAAAAGAATATTTAAAAAAATCTAGTAACAAAATATTTTTTGAAGGTACG